AAGATTTTCTTCTGTCCGCATGAAAATTGAAAGCAAACTCGATGTTGACCCCGCACGAAATACTTAAAAGGCGAATTTAATAATTAATTAATTGTAATCTATTTTGATTAATAAACTTATCTGATTAGTTTCTAGATTTCATGAAGAGATTCGGAAAGATTTCGATCGGTATTTCTATCGGAGGATTCTTTTTCATCAAGAATAGCTTTGTCATGAGAGTAAGTACTTCTTTCTGGTGTATTTCGTTAGACCCGAATTTAGTTTCTCACTGACCATGTGTGCGATGCGTTAGACACATATTAAGATTTTTCCAGTATATAATTTGCAAGTATAAAAACTTATGTAAACATTATTTTTGCAATTTCAAAGTTCAGTTCTAACATCTGCATTTCATATTATATGTTCTTGTAATTATAAACACTGGCTCGAATAAAAGACTTTCTTATTTTACAGTTGTTAAGTGGATTTTATTCTATTTTGTTAACGTTAATGAAAGTAGGCTGCGAGAAAAAGTGGATGCATCTCGACAGAAAACAACAAAACCAACACCTTCGGCGTTTTATCAGTTTTGGATGATTATAAACATTAATTTTTCTGTATCGATATTGAAAGGTTGTGTGGATAATTAAAGGGTAAATAGAGACGAATGAAATTACGAGTTGCATTAGAAGACTTCCCTGAAATAAGGCGTTAAGTTTCACTGTTTCGAAATTTCATATTTTTGTACATTAAAAGTGCTAAGTCTGAAATCTTTGGGCATTACGAGTTTTTGAATTTCTCTCCGTTTTCGGCTGAAGAAAAACCACATCAAATAGATGAAAGCGATTATGGAATGTTTCCATTGAAATATGCGGAGTACATAACGAGAGATGAAAGAATTAATTTCACACAAAATTATATGCCTTATTCTCGCCGGCAAATGGCTAACGAAATTTTGAAGAAACAGTTATTGTGACGAACGTCAAATCTACGACGGTCCGTACATAAAATTATTATTTTGCCACTCGCAAAATAAAAATATAATTTCACCTCCACCAGGTTCCAGCTGTTTATATTTACATAATCACTGCTTAGGAGAATTTTACTAGTATGATGCGAAGTTATCATTACGTGCGAATGAACGTTCGCGAATTCATTTACATTTTAAAATTATAATTTTAATTAAATGCCATTCATACAAGAAATGTCATAAAAGTTGCATGAAAAAAACTCATAATTTCATAACTGTAATTATAGTAAATCTTCGTTTCCTTAACTTTTCTTTTTAATTTCCTGGCATAGAATTTATAATTTGCGATATTCAATTAATGATTACCATCTTATAAAAAAGTAAATGGATATAATGATTTAACTGGACGAAATTAGTATTTCTTAAATGAAACATTGTATATTAAACTGTTTAATTAAATTTTCTTCATTTTAAAATGTCTATTGTTGTACATATATATTACAATATCAAATAAATTTATGTATTAAAAATTCTGAATTTCGTTTTTTTACGGAATATCTATTTTTTCGCATAAATTATCCAAGCGCTTCTTCTTATACATAATATGAAAACCTAAACCCAGAGTATTAATAATATAAAAGTCGTCGTAAGTGTGTGTGAATTTTTTGTAACTCCTAAAGTTTTTATCAAATCCAGATGAAATTTTGGTTTTATTCGTTTCATATTCTATCGGAAAGTATAGACTAATTATTTTATCAAAGTATTAGCTCTAAAATAAACTTTTTATTGATTTCTGACTGCTCATCGCACTTATTTCGTAGTGACCTGGATGACTTTATTTAGTTCATTTTTAAATATTTTGGCAAATGACGTATTTTAAACTTACTTCGTGAATAAACAATATTAAAGTGTGTGTTACTAAAGAAAGACAGCACGAAAACTACAATAGAAAATTTACTCAGAATATAAAAAAATTGTAATATTTTAAAATAAAGGCATAAATCTGTTGATGTATATGTAAGTGAATACTCTGTAACTCCTACTGTTTCCATCCACTTTAGATGAAATTTAGTTTTATTGCTCTTTACGTTACCACAAATAGCGTGTTTTAGAGATATTTACGACTCCCATTCCAAATTTTTAATTGAACGCACTATTACAAAATTGACGTTTATTACTTCATACTGACGTATGGATAAATGGATCAAGCAAGATCAATACGATAATATTTAAATTGTTATAATTAAAACACTAATGACGTGACAAAATTATTCTTAAACAAAAAAAAGTATTTTAATTGAAATAAATGTCCAATAAAGATAAGATTTATACGGTATTTTGTAGAATTATTTTCGTTCACGAAGTTTTGTCAAAATATTGCAGAAATCATTAGGTTCAATTCGTCTTAAACGTCGAATTTAGAGAAATCGCTCGTTGAAATTTTTAAAAATTGTATAGAATATGAATCAATATTTAACATTCGTAGGTTATTGTAATGTTGGTAGAGTATTGGAATCAGGCGATTTCTTTTGTTCCTTTATCATTTCCAATCTTTTCTATCTCATTTCGACGAGAATTTCGGATGCTCTGACCACTTCTGGATCTGTTTCTTCCTGTTCCTGCAACAACGAATATATAAATTATTATTATTTAAATTAAATTTTTAAACGAAAGAAAATGGAAAAATTTTCTTCGAATAAATGTCAATCTATACTAATATAATAAAGAGGTAATGTTTGTATGTATGTAAGTTTGGATGCAGCAGGTAATCTTTAAAACTACTCATCCAATTTCAAAAATTTTTTCACCAATATTTNAGAGGCAGGATTAAGGCTTACCGTGAAGAACTTGGCTTCTATTATACTATTTTAGATGCGGGTTTTTGCATTTTTGATTGCATTTTAATAGGGTGCGTCAACAGAATGTACACTAAGAAGGGATTTTTCGATATTCTCCCGCGGGGGAGAGGGGCAGGATTAAGGCTTATTGTGAAGAACTTGGCTTCTATTATACTATTTTAGATGCGGGTTTTTGCGTTTATGATTGCGTTTTAATAGGGTACGTCAACAGAATGTACACTAAGAAGGGATTTTTCGATATTCCTCCCGCGAAGGAGAGGGACAGGATTAAGGCTTACTGTGAAGAACTTCACTTCTATTATACTATTTTAGATGCGGGTTTTGCGTTTATGATTGCATTTTAATAGGGTACGTCAACAGAATGTACACTAAGAAAAAATTTTTCAAAAAATTTTCCTTCACGGGGGAAGTGTTATATATTTATAATAGATACATTTTGAGCCACAACAAGACGTGGCGGGGTCTGCTAGTCTTGAAATATAAACAGAATTCAATTTATCATTCACAAATAAAAACTCAACACTTCTTCAGTCACAAATCTAATTTGTAGTTAACAGTAAATGGTATCATCGTTAATGAATTTCCATTCGATTGTGTAACATTTATGACATCGGTATAGTAGAGCTCAGCCACAGTCTGAAGTTAAAGTGCCAAATTTGACTATTAATATCTCCGAGACCAACGAACCGATTCGGATAACATTTAAAATATTTAGTGTTCGCGGTAAGAACGGCGATTAATTTAAGTTTTTTATAAGTTCGTTGGATCGTTCTGGATCTAATAATACGAGCCTAATGATTTTAATCTATTAATACGAGCCTAATGATTTTAAAATATAATATTTATAAAACAATGTTTCATTTTTACTTTTGTAGTTCTTATGTACCTATACATAACAAGAGATATTATTGGAATCGTGTCAAATTTGTTCCTGCGAATTTTTTTAAATCTACGTTTTGAGATTTTTTCTCTACTATTGTATATACATGACGGAATATTTGCTTCTTTCTGTTCTTTGTTTTTTTATTATTATAATATAATATTTTATATTACATTTATTTTCTGAAACGCTGAGAATTCCTAAATCCATTACTCGATCTACATTAAAGTTTACATACTTATTCTCTGGGAGTTCGGACTAAACATAGACGACCACCAAAACCTGCATACACCTGATTTATCAATATTAACTTTTAATGTCTTTGCTCGACTGCACCAGATTTTTCACACTTATTTCCTGGACACACTCAAATCTGCACACTACGCGTGACTGTCACATGAATATATCACGAGTTATGAATGTCGCGTAAGCTCATTCTGCTGAATACTGCTGAAACCAAGCTCAAAAAAACATCATAATAATAAAGAAAGGAAACTTTTGAAAGTTCTTGTATAAGAATAGTGAAAGCAGATTTGACAGTAAAACTCAACGTGTGAATAAAGTTCACATTACACATACACAACAAGTACAAGAAGTTTCAGAGAAAGCGGTTGCAATGGGATAAATCGGAAAAATGAACATCGTCAGAGAAATAAGCTACCAGCTTTACTTCCTGCCTCAAACTTCGTTCGCTGACACTGTTCAAACGTGTTCAAACGTTCAACGACATGAATGTAGAGCAACGTCATTAAGACATAAAGTAAAACTCGAAAACGCTTTGCGTAACGATGTTTATTTATCCGATTTATTATCACGGTGACTGTTTCCTCTAAATAGTTGTAGACTACAACTTGTAGTCTATGTAATGTGAACTTTATTGACATCAACAGTCTTACTCTCAAATCTTCCATTATTCTTATCCCATAACTGATAATTCTTAACTGATTCTTCCACTATTCTTATGTCAGAACTTTTGAAAGTTTCCTTTATTTCTGCCGAGCTCTACTGTTTCAACCTGGTTTCAACACTTACTTATTACATATACAAATTATTACATATATTTTAATCATAATGTATTGCATTATGATTAAAATACATATTGCAATGTATTTTAATCATAAAATTGTGAACAACTAAATTTTGTAAACTAAATATTAACTTTCCTTTACTATAATTTACTCGCACACCAGCCTTGATGGACGAGTAAATTATAGTATAGAAGGGCGAATGTTCTGGCGTCTTTTCCTAACTTAAACTGAATGTTTATTTACAAAGTACTAAAACTTGTAAACAGAATACAACAATTAAATACCTTTGATGTGCAAGAGGCTTCATCGACGTGTGTCTGTTTATGTACGAACCATTCTCTCTCGGATATTGTAGTAAAGCGACATTGATGACATTGCCATAATTTTTCAGAAAATTGCAAAGTTTTATCTTTTTCGTTTGTTTCAAAATGTTCCTCTCGCATGGAACTCGCTGCTGAGATTTCGGCAGAAGAGTGTATCTCACTCTGTTCCGAGAGTTTAAAAGTTTTTGATGTACCTTCTCCTGTAATTTGCTAACAATTGAATAATATTGTTAATTAATTATGCAATTCCTTTTATAGCATTCTACGATGCTTTTAATTGACAACTACCATAACAATGATAAAATTTCGATGAATAGCATAAAAATCATTTGAATATTTGAAATTTAGGGAAGTCCCGATACTACCGATACCGATACTTTTTCTTGGGCATCGGATCAGATTTGGTTACATTTTCACGGGCAGGTAAAGTGTGTATGAAATTAGATTTTGCAGTTGAATAAGAAAATAAAATGAAATTTTATGCTATTTTCGGTTATGACGAAAATCCACTAAATGTATTATGTGAAATTTTATTTCCAGAATCTATAGCACGAGTTCCCAACCTATGGGTCGGGACCCAGAAGGGGGTCGCGACGGGCTTTCTGTGGGGTCGCCAACTTATACAGTTAACTAAAAAACATGTTCACTATAATGCAATTTTTATTTTTAATGGTGTCTTGAAGTTTGAATAATTTGATATACAGTCGACCCCCTATAACACGGGTTCCTATAGTTCGGATTCTTATATGACGGCGAAAAAATTGCGACGGTATCCGTACAAACATGGGTAAAAAAACTCCTATAATTCGGTAAAACGTCATCGGGCAGCCGAACTACTTTCCGCCGTCCAGCGCCACGCTACGGAGAGTTTAGGCGAGTAAGTTGAGTTTACTATCGTCTGTACAGTATGTAAATTAGGTACCGTAAGTCTAATACAGTACTGTAATTTTATACATTTCTTGTGAAAGAAACATTTCTTATTCAACGGCCATAAAAATTATTTATATTAATGATGTCTCCAAAGTTCAACGAAGTTTTCGCAGAAAAATAACTTATCAGAAATCGCGGCCGCCGTTTGGTGCGCTGCTCCGCGACGAAAACAAGCTTAAGCAATGGCGACGTCGAACGGTGCACACTCGGTAAGTAATCCTACAATTTTTTGTTTATAGCATAGTTTATACGGATTATTCCCAAAAAAATATACGTATTTTGGAAATGTTGAGTCGAATTAGTCTAGGAATCGATTAATTTTATGGAAGAAAACCTTTCAAACACCCGTAGTCCGTAAACTTCACACGTGTCGGGCTGTGATTGGCAAGGTCTCCTAAAACATCAATTTCATAAAAAACGGAACGTATCTACCGTGTTATAGGGGGGTCGACTGTATTTTTTAAAAATTAAAATAAGTGTAATCTAGGTACGCTATTCCGTCACAGTTGGTTGAATCATGTGTTGAGAGTTTGAGAGGAATAAATTAAATGTTGAGAATGACATGAGGTTGGCGTTAACAAAAACTCACCCGCGAATTTTAAGGCTGGTTAATAACATATAATTTCAACAGTCGCATTAAATTATTAGACATAATTTAAAATAAAATTATACTAAAAACTAATTTCGTTGTTGTTTTTATTACCTTATTAAAAATGTCTTTTTCAATAGTATCGGGGTCGCGGGTCACTTGGCTTTTATAAAAAGGGGTCGCCACCCGAAAAAGGTTGGGAACCGTTGATCTAGAGCTTGCAAACAAACACAAATTATTAGACAGCCACGAACCATGCTACAAATACGTTCAACAGACAATGTTCTACAACAGCCAAGATCCAGTGGCGTACCGTAGTGGGGGCAGCAGGGGCGGCCCGCCCCGGGCGGAACTTTTTAAGGAACGGCAAAATTTCACAATAAATAATAATAATATCTTCTAAAAATTTGAAACATCCTAATATATACTTGCATCGCACCTACGATAGTGCTATCGTCCGGACAGTCCGGAAATCAGCGCGGCAGAGGAACTAGTAACTTTTCCATCCGAGGAGTTCCTGCGAAACCTGTTGAACTTGTACAATTCGTACGCGTTCATATACACCACTAATATCCAATAGTACTATTTTAAACGGATCGCTGCACTACCACCGAATTTTTCATCGCTTGTTCTGTGACAAAACTGATTTTTGGTCTTTTAAATTGAAATACCTAAATAAGGGGAGCCGAAATTTTTCTCCGCCCCGGGCGGCTAACAAACACAGTACGCCACTGCCAAGATCACAGATAAAAGAACTTACCACAACAGACCAGGCATCACACTCATTGACGAACACAATAAAATCACATACATTATTGTCGTGTCTGTTCCAAACACTCGCAATGTACAAAATACATGAAGTGAAAAAAAATCAGAGAGTACACAGAACTCGCCCACGAAATAAGGTATCGTGGAGGATGGATAGAGTGTTTATTGTACAGTACCTGTCGTTCTCTCCACTACAGGTGTCATACCACACACAATACACAAAAGCCCGAAAACATTAGAAGTGAATAGAAACACATACATTACACTACAGAAAGCCGCTATATTGAATACATGACATATTGTTAGAAAATTCCTGAATACAGATACACATTGACACACTTATTTAATTTTTGTTTTGATTTGAAGTTATTATGCATTGACACTCGTACACAGCCATCGGTGTCAACCGAGTGTAACTCATAAAACTCAACATAATAATAATAGGTTTATGGCATTACGAAATTCTATTAATAGCATCATATCATACGTTTTTGAGGGGAATAATATTTTGGTGTGCCGTATTGAGTAATGTCGAGTCATAGATATGCCGCGAGTAGGAAAACATTGCCGAACACTGACCTACGAGATCGATTCGGACGGTTACGTCAAAATCCACGTGCAGAGAACTAAAGGCGAGGATTTCGCTTTCTCCGAACGGGGTCGGCCGTCGCCGGTCTATTAAACGGAGAACTGCTTTCAGATTGTCCGGAGCCGGTCAACATCCTGGCCATCGTTCTGGGAGTGATCGGAGGAATCGTGGCCGTGAGTATGGCCCTGCTGCTGATCTGAAAGCTGCTGACCACCATCCACGACAGAAGGGAGTTCGCCAAGTTCGAGAAAGAAACGCAAATGGCCAAGTGGAACAGGGTGAGTTCCTCTCTTCTTTGAATCGGGACGTATCCGGTTCCCCAATGACGAGTCCGCTCTTTCTTTTTCAGGGAGAGAATCCGATCTACAAACAGGCCACCTCCACCTTCAAGAATCCCACTTACGGATGCAAGCAGTGAGCCCCAACCGTCAGGCGTGTAGTTTAGAACCACTCTAACCCTTTTCTTTTGGCTAATTTGCGTCTATTCCAACCGGGTTACGTTCGGACCCCGTCTAAAGATCTGATAGTTCTCGTTTTTAATTTTTTCGTTATAATTTACGTCATGCGTGGGTCGACGGGAGGGTCCGGTCGGCCTCCTTTTCCTACTTTTTAATCGCGGTTCGTCTTCCGTTTCCGGCTCCGGGGGCGGGCCACTTCCGTCCGCCGCGGCCCCCTCCGTCTTCCTCGGTCGTCGAGTGGGGCGACGGCTTCCCAACGGCCTCGGCGCCCGGCAAGCAAGAGAAATTCCCCGCCGCCGCACCTTTGGCGCGACACGTGGCAAACGGCGCGTCGCCTTTTGTACAGGAAGAAAATCGGTCCCAAGGGCCGACTTTTGTAGAACCGGAAATCGTCTTCCGCTTTTGTTATCATCCGAAGCCAAATCGTTTGTTTAATAAAATTATTTAATACCGAACGTCTGCTATTTTATTCCTTAAAAGGAAGAGCTTCTGTCGTTTATAGCCAATGCGGTGGATGGGAACCCGGTTACCGCGTTTTCTCCCCTAACTATTTTATTTATTTTCCAAAATATGCATTTCCACTCTGCGATTAGTTCGGTTATATCTTAGTAACAGGAGAAATATTCAAATCCTCGACATTCTTTACTAATAAGGAAAGCTTTTAATTAAAATATTTTCGCACTAGCTTTCCACCAAGTACATATAATTATCGTAAGATGGACGAATGGATATGAATTTTAATTAAGTCCGGTAATCTTTCGTCGCTTAAAATATTTTAAATATAAATCAGATAGGTTTTAATAAACGATGCAATCGACTTTCATACTTTATTAGTTATTAGCACGCAACGTTTGTACTAATATCGATGGAAACGCTTGTTTCACATCGAACAGAATCAATACGTAATTAGTTTTCTATGCGCTGCGCTCGGATAAAATTCCCTACTGTTCAGTCTTATAAAATAATCGTCATTCTTGTACGTCTGTTGTCCGAACAAACGTATGTCGGTGTTTAAACATCAGTATTAGCTGCTGGTGAGAATTTAAAAAATATATTATTCCAGCGAATTGAAAATTTTAAAACCAATTATTCCCTAATTATAGTCGGGTTAAATTACAGTCGATAATGGATTCGGATGTAAATGCCGAATGTCCGGTTTGTCAAATCGACTTTGTTCTTCGAGCGGCCAAAGTCTTTGCCACGAATATAATTATGGACTGCAACTGCCAGAAGAACGAAAGAAAACCGAAATTTCGTTTTTTCCTGAACAAAGTTTACGGGTGTGACGAAAGTACAGTACAACTTTTCTTGTGGACTATAACAATTCGACAGTTTCTGGGAACCTTTTTCGAAGGCGTAACCTGCAGTGAATTGGTATACGTTTACGGAACCGACAATAGTTTCATCAGATTGATACATTTAATTGCTTGTGTTTTGTGCCGTTCTTTTCGGCATATTTAAAAGAAGAAAACTGTACTTCGAATACAAGAAAAGCTCTTACGAAGAAGAAATCTTTTTAAACAAATACTTCGAAGCATTTTCATTAATTTCACTTATTCTCTATTTTATTGTCATAATTATTATAAATGTAATATTAGATATATTCGGTTTTCCAATCACGAGAGAAAATAAATCTCCCGAAAAAGCGGCATTTTGCGTCATTGTAATGAATGTTACTTCCATATACTTCTACGCTGTTATTTTCCTTACGGTTTTGCAAGGTATCCTCGTTAGATTTATAATATTCGAAAGATTAAAAACTCTATCAACCGAGATGAAGAGTTTTCACGCCGAACACAGTCGTTTGGAGATTTTTTTAAACAGTTGCGTAGAAAAGCACACAGAAATTTTGGACGGTTTGGTACAGGTGAACGAG